ATTCAAACAGGCATGGTTTTTTTGACTGATTGATAACTTGACCTTGAGATTGAGAAGATAACCTTGAGTTTTAAGCAACCCATAACCAAAATCCTCCTCTGAATCTGAGAAAAAAAAAATAATAATCAGTTTCTCTTATTTGCGTGGTTGTGGAGTTTTTTTCTTCTTCATAGATTTGATAGCCTAAGGCCGGCGCTAACGAGTTGAACCAGTGTGTGGCGCCCAACCGTTTGCAACGTGTTCCATGCAAAGAAGCGTGTATCATACATGTATGATATATGCCTTACGAAAATTTTTCACCAGCGTGCGGCCGGCCTAAGGCATTGCAATATAGTTTGTCATCCATCTGGCATCTGGGTCCAAAAAAGTGTTTGCAATGCTAACAAGACCAACCTCTCCAGATTCGTTTCAAGTATTTAATATTGAATTAAAGGAGACAAGGAGAACCTTCAAACTATATAAAACTCACTGTGATTGCAGCCCGGAATTCCGAGAAAAATGAACAGAAAAAAAAAATACATCCAGTTAAAGAATTCAGTATAGAGCTGTTTTTTTCCTTCTTTTTTTTTGGGGGGGGGGGGGGGAATATTTTCATGTAGATGAAAATATTACTTACGCTCAATAAAAACTTAAGGAAAAAAATTGAGTACCCATATCCAGACCCCCTCCAGTCCCACTTATTTCAGATATTCAATTTTATATTATAAACGCCATGGAACAAGCATTCAAGGCAGCGGTTCTTAACCTTTTTTAGCTGCGACCAAAATGCTAGCTTGGGATGGTTATTATAAGTTTAGAATCCAGACTGCCTTTTTTAGCATTTAACAGACTTATAGGAGAAAAGGCATGTTGGGGAGCATGAGTGACCTGACCTAAACTATAAAGGAAAGTTCGAACAGTCACTGGACCCACTCAAAATGACTTGGTCCAAATTAGGTCGTGACCCAGGGATTAAGAACCACTGATTAAAGGATTGTCCTACTCAAAGAACATCAATAGAAGTAAAATTCAAGTTCAAGGCAAATTAGAACAGCATTACACATTTTTACTAGTATTTTCAGGAAGCTCAACTCCTGAAGACAAAATTCCCAAAAACTTAAATAAAGTATCATTGAGCCTCCAGTCTTGAAGGAGACCCCTTTGCCAGATCAGGTGATATTGTGCAGTTATTATGGCACTTGTAGTTGAGCACATGGATGACTCTTGATGACTCTACTGAAAACCAATGTATCATTCATAGATCCATTTATACATCATGAGTCCTGACTGGAAGGATAGGTGGCTAAGTAAATTTCTCTCAGGCTGACAATTGATTACAAAATTCTATTCAAACAGGCATGGTTTTTTTGACTGATTGATAACTTGACCTTGAGATTGAGAAGATAACCTTGAGTTTTAAGCAACCCATAACCAAAATCCTCCTCTGAATCTGAGAAAGAAAAAATAATAATCCTTGACCCTTTTACTGCTACATTCTTTTTCTTTATACATCCCTATGCTGAGTTTTTTTGCTTCTGGTGCAACATTGTGGGTCTTACCTATAAAAAAAATATATACGTTCCCTCATTTATCTTTAAAATCTTGGCTAATGGTCAATTAGAGATAATGAAGAATTACTCAGCCCTTTTACAATGCTATTAATTAATGCTATCAAATAGGCACTCCAACCTGTCTCATCAATCAACTTGCATTACTCCTTTGATCTGGACCTCTCAGTTGCCAAAATAATATTTCATTCTATATATTTCATAATAAAAAAAACCTGAGCACCATAGAAGCAGCTGGCTGGATGGACCCTTCCATATTTCCTTGATTGCTCAGTCATGACTACTGCATGTATAGTATCATGTATAGTATCATACTATCATGTATAGTAAAATAAACCAAAGGAGACATACAGAGGTTACATTTTTTTTTTTACAGTGGCACATAATTTCAGACAATGGAAAACAAGAGAACCTGGGAAGCTAGAGGGAGTGCCACATTTTCTTTTTTAGAATGGGATAATTAAAATCAATTCCTTGAACTAGGCAAGTTCTGAGTTACCTAGTTACTTCATGTATGGTCAGTGTATGATTATAATCATCTTGACACATGCAACACTTTCATTTGTTTCACTTTGCCAGTTCTCATTTTGCCATAAGGTCTAACAAAGAAGCAGTCATGAAAAAAGAATGGGGAACAGGAAAGCTGGTGATGAGGATGTAGTTCAATAATAAAACAATGCCTAATCCAGTCACTTCAAGAACAGCCTACTAGTTCTGAGTTCCAGAAATAATATCAACTGACTTTTGGAAGTAAGATTCCTTATCTGCAAGGGGAACTTCCTCAAGTTCCATAGGCCAAGGGCATACAGGAAACTAAAAAAGGGGTTCATCATTGCTGGGATGCTTGAAGAATGGAACTGTTTTCCAATTGGTGTAGTAAAAGTTGATAAAGTATTTCCATTGAGCCCTGATGGATGCAAATAAGCAATTTCAGGACTATTCATATTAATAAGATAGTTCACCTTTCAAACTATGTATATAAAGGCTTAAAGGCTTTTAGACTTCTCCATTTGGAAGCAGTCAAACCATGTCTAGTTGCCACAGGTAAGAATGGCTTATCAGCAGTTTTTGTGCAATTCATTAAAATGCACAGATAGATGCTACAGTCAAACTTTTATCAATCCAGGGTTATATATGTAGTTTACTTAACACTTTCAAGCCTGACAATTTGAATGTGTGCTATGCGAGTAACACATGATATGATGGGTATAGGTCTGAAAGACTTAAATAAAAAAATTAAAATGTAATGCTATTTGTATTCTGACAAAATAAAAATAACATTACATTAAATTCATAATTAAATTCATTCATAAATTCATTTTAAACTTCAAACTAAAATTCATAATAAAATTAAAAATTATATAAGGCCTGCATTTGTAGCACTTATAACAAGTTTCACATTTTTGGTGGAAAGCATCCTCAATCAATCATCTCAAGTCATGAAATGAACTGCAGACATAGCCTTCAAATAAAAATTGGAAAAATTCTGGCAGCAAATAAATATGATTAAATGTAATACATTTAGTGCTCAAGCGATTTATGGTTTCAGAATGATCACCATATTGGACAAAACTGAATTTGGACATGATACACATTTAACTACTGAGCCACTCTGATGGATCCTGAAATTAAGAGCACAATTGGCACTGTGGCAGCATTATCATACAATGAATTGTACATGCGGCTCAAAAATATTTCTCTAAGTTTTCTGATCTGCTATCATATCAGACCTACAACTTTAAAAGTAGAAGCTCTGACAAGCAAGGATGTAAAAATGGAAGAAGCATATGCCATGGAATGTAAGATCCCACCTTGACTTCCATTTGCCTCGTAATGGGATTCTGGAACTGGAGCTTGAGCTTGGACTTGCCATCATCTGAGCTTCCTTTCAGTTGGGAAAACTTGTATCTCCAGACAATGTTTGGAGAGGGAGGGATCCCACCTGGCTGCCCAGGAGGCCCTAACACAAAGCCCTGGTTCCAATCAAGGGAAAGACCATAGCTCCGACCTTCATGATAAACAGCGAATGTCTTCATCTGCAGAAGGGTAAAATATTTAGTTTGTAAACATATTTGCATGAAGAGATAAGGGATTTGGAGCAGCATCACACACATATAGATTGAAGACAGCCAGGTAGAGAGCTTGATGCCATGCCTTCTCTATCCTCCCCAACTCCTGATGACTTTCCAAGGAGAAATAATGAGATTCATGAGATCGACTAGCTGTTTGGAGGAGAAAGCAGTGCTGCCGTTGGTCCATGCACTCTGAAGCCTTCACCACTCGGAAGAGGGTCTCATAGATCTTGTAGCAAACAGATGGGGACAACCAGTCTCTAGCCGACACCTTGGTAACAAATTAAATCAGGACCATGGTAGTAAAGAAATGACCAAGGCACGATGCACTAAGAATTGCTTTCAATTCTCAAGTAGAATAGAGAAGGGGAATGCACTCACAGGAGCATCTCCAAAAAGTAAAACATTAGCTCCCTTGAGAGCTACAAACTTAGGTTTCCAATTCTGCCAGTGTGTAGAAGAGGCATTCCCTGATGACTCCTCAAAGCCTTCACACACCCAACCCATGTATGTGATCTGCTCACTTGGAGTCAGACTCCCATTGAATACCTTCATCTGCAAAGCATGGGGGTCTGTAAATTTTAAGAATTCTCAGCCAAGTGACATGCATGGTGTTAAGGGGAACATAAGCCAGCCCAGACCTGGAGGTTGTTCAGGCCCACAATGGTGTGGATTATGCATTTGAGCCAATCAGCCATATCTGCCAGGTCAGAACAATGAACTATGCCTGTCGTGCTCCCATCAATGCTTCGGACCTCAAATGCCTTTGGTCTCAGTTGGTCTGTCCCGAATATGTAGCGTGTGACATAAGCCATCAGCAAAGGCACTGGTGAAACAAAAAAATGTGAGAATATTAGGAATCATTTGCATCAAAAACAGAGAAAAAAAAGACATGTTGCCTAATTCCATCTCTATTCTATCAAATTGCCTGAAACCTCAACTGAAGCCTCAAGGGAATAACCATATCAATAACCTGAAGGTTTTTTAAAATTCACCTTAACTCATATCTAGTTTCAGCTTGATTTCCATGACTTCTTGTTCTTAACATTAATTTTTTCTCTCCGCAACATAACCCACTTACATAGCAGGAGTAAGTTTGGAGAGTTATTTGTATCAAAAAAGGGAAGTTAGAAGAGTTTAAATAAATAAATACCAGGAGAATTTTGTCTTTAATGGTGGATGAGATCATACAAGGGCTGTTCAATAAGTAATGACTGTCATACAAAAAATATGGGTTCTTCTCGCATCAAAAACTTTTTCCGATGGGTCCTTCATTGATTGAGTGATTGATGATTCACCATGAAAAGGTGGTCAGTGTGGGGATCAGTCCTCAAATGCTAGAAATATTTAACCCTGGTGGCTCAAAACAGATCACAGACATCACTGCAAGTAAATGAAACATGGATTCATCACTCCAAGCAAGCGAAACAAGAAGGTTTAGTTAGGAGAAGATGAGCCTCAACCAGATGTCCTCAAACCTTGGTTTTGCTCCAGGCAGAGGAGGTTTTCTTTAAATTTATTAGAATTTTAATTTCTTTTTTAATTGAGGGCCTGAGGTTCTGGACATAATGCATGAGGGGGTAACAATCACTGGAGCATTTTACTCCCCAAGTTGTGCTCCCCAAGGTTTTGGCTGAGATGAAAATCCAAAGATCACTTGGTAGGACCAACAGAATTTGGCACCATCATGGCAATCCTTCTAGCCATAATGCACAGGTGCAAAAACATATGCACAGCATGTTTTTGGAAGAAAATGAAGCTGAGGTTTCCCCATCCATCTTATTCCCCTGATTTCACCATCCTGGACTTCTGTCTGTTCCTTGAGCTCAAAGAAAACATGGCTGATAGATAGTTTCATTGAATTGAATACTGTAGCAAGGCTGTACAGGCAGTGCTTCAAGGAATACTACAAAAAGCCAATAAAATGGCATTTCTGAAGTATTTCAGGAGGATCCAAAGGGGTGGAAATAGTGACGTGGAAGAACCCTGAAGTTTTTAAATTCCAGTCATGAAAAATAATGAAGTTTTTGAATTGCTGTCATTTCTTATTGAACATCTCTCATATCATGGTATAATATTCTGTGATTTACAGCATGAGGGAATGATTCTTCCATGTGTTGGTAGATATAAAGAAAGAAAAAAAAAAAGAGCTAGGAATTGGGGTAGGCAGAGCAAAAGAGATGTGGGTGCAGATGTTCTTTGGTTGTGAAACAGGCCTCTGCAAGCCTGTAGTGGTTGCAAGGGTCTTTTTGAAAGGCGAGACTAGGTTAAGATACTAAGGTAGGATAAGTAATATTCTGCCCTTGAAGTAAATGTTCAACTTACAAGCAGCAAATGCCTTGGATGCAGCAGAGTCCTGACTCTTCCTTGGATGCAAATTCTGCCCATTCTGGATTTGTGCTTTCCATTCTATGGCATCGATAGTGCTGCTTACAAATTGAAAATTTACTTTCAAGGGGCATAATTAGAAGCAGGGTTAATATGTAGTTCTTACCCTATCCCTTCTCAAATCTCTATGTTCTCTGTACTTTTCTTCAGCTGATTTGTAACATAATCACACTGTCACCACTGCCAAGCTACAGAGAACTTGTTTATCTGTGACAGAATGGAAGATTTAGCAGGTCACACTGCACCAATATAAAGAGGTCTGAAGAAAGCTAGCAGGTCTACATAAGTTTTCCCTCCACATGACTCCTCCATGGGAGATATTAAGTATGGTCTTCTTCCATGTCACCTAATTGCTAAACAGATTTAGCCTGCTGAATTACAATTTTTATAGAATATTTATGCTAATGAAGTTTTATGGAAATCCATGAGGAAACAAATGATATAAATATTCGACTGACTGGGGCCACTTTTCCCATTGAAAAACAGACAAGGGGGTTAATTTTTTTCCAGGAAAACAAGAGTAAAAAATAAAAATTATATAAAGAACTTTGCAATTCCCCACTCATGAATCCCTGGGCATTGGTCACTGAAATAGAATATAACTGATTCGTACTTAATAATTTCTGCATATGTCATAGATGGAGCTACAAAAGTAAACAACCGATGGGTCCAATCAATTCATAGACAGGATAACTTCAGTCCCAATCAGGTAGATTCACTTGAAAAGGGAGTGCAAAGAGGGTATGGAGTCACTGCCCCTCCTGCAACTTAATAAACCTGTATCTTCTAGTCACCTTAAAACAGCAAGACTTTTGTTAATGTCTTATTCAAAATCTACCACTTATTGTTTCAAAAGTGCTTCATTATTATGTGAACAGCATACACCAGGTCCATATGACCTTCCAGAAAATAAAACATAAGTTCATTTGTCCCTGGTTTCTAAGAAGGCTAGACACAAAGGTCATTGGCGATGTGACTTGCTACAATATCAGTAACCTGTTCTCAATAATTTTGAAATAGATCAACTACTGCAAAAATGTAAATATACAAGAGATGATGTATGACTGCCTCATACATTTATCCTCTATGTGCATGTCCAGTGATCAAGATCCTGCTGTTGGGCATCAAAGAGGAAAGCATCTTAAGATTTTTCCCAGTAAAATACCATCTGAATTCTTCAGGTCTGAAAAGCTATTAACCTACCCTCAGCAGTTATTGTCCATTCAGAGTCCTCCTTGAGGCTGTTTCCATTCTCATGAGTCGGGCTATCTGGTTCTGAAGTTTCATCAGCCAATCCTTTCCATCCATCCTCTCCACGGAGCTCTAATGGAATTCTTCTCCCACATCCTGTCCTTTCCTGTCGAGCCACTGGGTACACAACATCAAACCTTCACTCAATCTTAATTAGGGAGTATAGACAAGGTTCTCCAAAAAGGCAAACAGGTCACTGTGACCACTTTTCCTGGCAGTATGAAGCAACTTCTAAGACTTTTTATTCTGCAGTTTGAGCCCCAGCATTGGCAAGGCTTAAGAAAATAAATAAATATTTTTTCTGGTGACATTTTATCTCACAATTTGACAACTATATTTATTGCATTTTCATTCTCTCATTGACAGGTGGTTTGGTCCACTCACCTCATAGATGAACCTTTAAATCTAACCAATGATATGGCCAACATCACTACAACTACAAGAGCATTACAAACAACAAACCACCACAGAGATGTCAGAGATGGCATGGCAGCTTTCAATTCTACTTCACATATGAGAACGTGTACTACTTCAAAAAAGTTCTCTCTATGCACTCAATCATCATGACAAATAATCACTGGAAATGAGAAAGAAGAGACATACAAGACTTTAGAAGATATGGTGTAGCGGCCTTGTAATATTTGAGTACAAGGGTGACTTCATCCCCTGAGTTATGTAAAGCTGCCACAGCTTCTTCATGGGTCTTCTCCACCAATGATTCTTCATTCACTATAAAAACAGAATTCATGAAAGTCTACTCAAACATTGTCATAGCCATTGTGAAGCCAGAAAATACTAAATACACTTTGAAAGGGTTAACTTATAACAAGAAGTGATGACCGATTCCATGAGATTTAAAAATTGACAGTTTTTAAGGGATTCTGAAATCAATCTCTATTGCACTACTGCACTTCTGGAACAACTCTCAGTAGCATACAGTGATTATTAAGGTGGATTTAACAATTTGTAATAAATTTTTTCCTGTGCCTACCTGGTTGGAGAGAAATGGCAATTGTGCTATACTTTTGCTTGCTGTGTTTGTTACATGCCATGAGTGTTTTTCCCACTCTGGTGGATCATGGCTTCCTTTCCAGTTATGTTTTCTTAGTGTTTTAACTCTCCTGAAATTTTGTACTTTTTGCTGGTTTCAAATATTTCCAAAGCTTACAAGGGAATTGTTCGCTAAATTTTTTAATGCTAGTTCAGAAATAGTATAAAAATCAAAGTAACAAATGACTTTTTATTTTCAATTTTTAGTCCATATTATCAGCAATTCTAAATACTTCTGTTTACTGCATAATGATGAGAATACAGCCACTAAATGAAGCGTAAATAGAGTAAATAGGCTCTGTTTCACTCTAGAGCAGGGGTATCAAACTCGATTTGGCTGGGGGCCAGATGGAAGCCTTCAGGGGTGATTAGGAGGCAAAACATAATATATGTTCTCTAAAAGCTCCACTCTCACAATTAATTCAGATTGGATGGTGGTCATCATATCAATCCTCAGATAACAATATATTGTTTCCTTATATAAGGTTATTTACCCAATCCTGAAACTTATTCTGGTCAGAGGAGGCCTTTGGATCAAAGGTTAGTAGCTAGAGCAAACTACAAATATGTTGATGAATATAATTTAACTAATTAATTCTGGGTATTACTGTTTGAGAAAACATCAATATCTCATAAATCTAAAAGTTATACATATGGGAAATAAAGGTGGTCCAACTGGAGAAGGCCTAAGACAACAATTGTAGGAAGCATAAAATTATTTCGATTTAGCTCATGAAACCAGAGGCTTCTGTATCAGGTCTAACTTAATCAACTGTCTATCAGAAGTGAGCAAGTTACTGATGATGGGGTTACCTTTAACAATGGCATCTCCAATGAAGACCTGTCCACTGATGTCAGCAGGCTGATCCTTGAACACTTTGGACACCAGTATGGGAAGATTATGCTCCACACCACCTTTGACACTCAAACCTAAACCTCCAGCCTTCTGCTTCACCAACCGCACCACCCGTTCCTGGAATCCAATGAAAGTGGCAGACTCTTCATCATGTGCCAGACCAGTGTCACAGTTTCAACTAGGAGGGTAAAGCAATATTGGAGAAAAAATTAAGGTTTGTCCACCTGTACCTTGGAATGCTTGGGATAGGCTTTGACATCCTGGCTGACTCTCCATGGTGGTTGCTTTCTTACTACCGTCAAGGAATCTTCAAACAGAAAAAGCTTTGCTGCTTCTGGCTGACTCCTCCCATTGCTCACTTGGATAAGGCCACTTTTCCTCTCCTAAAAAAAAAAAATAAAAAATAGTAAAGTATAAGTTACTTCTGAGCTCTGTCAACAAAGAACTGGTCTTCATTTTAGCAGTATTCTAGTGAATGACATGGAAATTTCCATCCTAGCCTTATAATGCATCTCAGGGAGGGTCCACACATGTGTGGATGTTCTCTTTGAGGAATCCTCTCCATAGATGATCCATGTCCATGAGAGTACTCCCAAGAAATAGAGCTCTGTATTTTCATGTGCAGATATATAAAACTTCAGCTGGTACTCTCTCCAGAGTTAAGAGCATAGAATGCACTCATACGTTAAGGAACTCTTTAAGGAACTGCAACTCAAAGCTAGAGAGAGAAATTCTCTGTCATAGGTGGAAATGTCCCTGTTTACACTTAATAGTTTCTCCACAGTGGCATTGGTTGGTTGAGGTGTAAGGAGCTTGAACTCCATTTTCAGCTGGTGATTTCAGGGATGGCAAGGTTGAATGTTGTCATAGCACTAGGCACTTTCATCTGAAGTTGAGCCGTCATCAAGAAAGTGACACATTACAGCAATGCCACTAACACTTTCATCTTATGAGGATAAGGAACTACTTCTATTACTAGTCTGAGCAAGGTAACTTTTTACCACTGAAATGACCATGAAATGTAATTAGTTACTGTAATGCATTAGTTTTACTTCATCACTGCCCAACATCGCTTGTTGATGGGCCACTGAGCCAAGAAAGTATAGTCAGATGACAAGAAGAGCTTAGACAGAAGGCCTCATTTGATTGGCCAGTTCAAGAGGAAGTGAGCAAAGGAGTGTGATGTCTGTAGTGACAAAGAAGTGAAAGTAGGACACAAGAAAACCACCTGCTTCTGTGAAACAAGTAGGAGGAAACCTGGACTTCACCTAAGGAAATTTTCCAAGAAGTGCCAAACTGAAAAAAATTGCAGACAGGGTTGGTCATAGAAAAGAGTTAAGAAGGATAAATAATGTGTTTCATAAGAGTATCAATTAACATACTTGCTATTAGCAATTAATCATCAGGAGGAAATATCAGTATACAGCCCAGTCAGCAATTTGTTGAAAAACATGGGGGGGATTCAAAGACAGGAGTATCCTTTGAAAGTATTTCTAATACTCATTTCCCATCCTGTCCATTCCCCCCCTCCCCAACCTCCATTCTCTCAGAATGATTTTGTCTTAGGTCTTGAACAATGGTTTTCAGTCGACTGTAACAGGCTACCAGACCAAGATCTTGACTGTACCAGCAACTACTACAGAGACAATTTTAAGCAGTTGAGCATTTGTATGCTAAAACACCATGAAGTTGTAAAAAATTTGCAGTTCATCTACCCAGCTATATTTTTCCCTTATTGATATACATAATTTTTAGTCCTTGCCATCCAAGTATTTTCATTGTGGAGAAAATCATCAATAATGCTCTTCTGGCACGTTGAATGCATTCTCTCATTTGTGGACATGAGGAGGCCTTTCTCAATGCTTCCATGTTCAACAAACCACCTTTCCAATGGAACTTTTAAATGATGACCAAGAATAATGCTCCCACCACTTCAGTTGGAACGTTTCCACTCATCGACCCAGTTTGAAACTATGAGCACTTCTCAATGTCTTTGTTGTCATTCTTCACAGACTTTTTCCCTCTTAAACTAGGGAAATTACTCAAACTAACAGTTTTCACGTTTGCCATCTATACAAATATGTTTTTACAACGAACTTCTCTATTACCCTCGAGTCTGTTCCAATGACATGAAACGGTCACGCATTGGACAAAATTTCAGAGAATCATAAATTAAGACCACACACCTATATGACCTGTATGACCCCACCGAGGACGGATTACTTGCACGCGATTAGTATCTCATTCCCATCGCAAGTGCCGGCAGGATCATTCGCAGGTGCAGAGCGGATCACGTACACATGTCAAACTGCTGAGTCTAGAACATACTTCACGTCCCGCTTTCGCCCTCTATAAATCGCCGCCTATAAGTATGCTTGATTTCCAATTATTTTTATAAATTAATCGCAACTGGTGACGAGGCCATGGGCCAAATTATATGGAAAGAGTTAAGCCTAAGCATAACATTATCCCTTTTCGTAAAGCAACGCTTCTTTATGACATCGCAGAAACATTAGTATAAAAAAACAGAGGCGCACACCAAATCAGACTTGAAGATGTGTAAACGGCCTACCCGTGGCTGTTTGGCCATGGAGAGGAGAGGAGCTCGGACGCCTCAATTCGTCGGCTGGCTGTCCCGTGCAAACGCCCCTTCACTGGGACCAGCGGAGCGCCATGATTGAATCAATCGAAGTCCGCTTGCGTAGATTGTTTCGTCTGCTAGGGGCTGATAACTGGGACGGGTATCTCCGGAAACCTTACAGTCACTGCGTTGTTGTTTCAATAATGACGAGCAGTGTCATGGCGCTCTTGGATGAATCCTTTCCCAATCAGCAGAATCACTTTTTGTCTTGTCAAGCAGGTCAGCGAATCGCTCCAAATCGTTCAGATAGTTTTTTTTCTTCTTTCCTTTTGTTCTGTTTCTGGATGAAGGTCCCTCGATTCGAGTAGACATTTGTCCATTTTTGGCCCTTTTACCTTTTCTGAGCGGGCAGTTCCCTTTCTTTCCCAGCTTTGGGTACTTTTGTGTGTAAATTCACCTTGCTCGGAATAAATCATTATCGTCTCTTTCAGTGGTAATATGATACCCAGCAGACGAGCATCAGCCGTATAATATTGCCATCCACTAGAGAGAGAGAAAAAAAAAGAAAGCGAACAGCTGCCTCTCTGCCCTAGCAACATGCGAGAGGAGCCAAAACGGAAGCTGGCGTAAAAGCCTGGCCGCGAGCTCTTCCACTCGAGGAATCCTTTCATATTGTTTCCTGCGATCGAAACGGACCGTCTGCTCCACAGCATGGAATGTCTATATGGCGGCAGTGAGTCTATCGTACACCCATTGTCGTCTTCCGCGAAGAGATTGCTACTTTCGAAGCGATGATGATTTTGAGCCGTTAACCACGTGCTCCAAACTCATTCTTTCCAAGGCAGGGCGGATTCGTCGTATCGCATGTTTCGCATTCAAGTGACTAAAATGCATTCAGGATTGCACCCAAAGTGTCCATGTCATTGCATTTCTCTTTAATATATGAACAATTATATGCAATATTTATTGGTTGTTTGACTTACGTCATTCTTTTTACTTGCAACGTGATCCGCCACTTCGAAACTTTGGACACCCCTGCTCTAATCCATCTTTGCGCAAACTACACGATCGCGTGTTTGCTTCTCCATCCCCTTTCGGGTAAAGCGTGAGATTGAGTTGACATCCGGAAGGAAGTGTGGGCCGTTCCGAGTCCTTCGCGGGTTGCAATTTCCAATTCCATGAGAACCTTTCCTTCGTTTCCGTAGCAGTTAGCTTTGACTTGTACGACGTCCGCTGTGCATTTAAAACATTAAAAATATCAGCAAAATTAGGCGTTCCCCCACGATCCCCCCTGGTTTGAAGAGACAGATCACAGTTAATGTGCCCACCCCAAAGAAGAAAGGGCAGGCGAAGTCCACAAGGAGACAACAGGTATTCGAGACTTGAGAGACGAGTGCTTTCGTTATCTTATTGGCGATATAGAAATATTTTATTTTTCGTCGAGCGACTCTGAAAGAGAAGTGGGAAGAGGTTCAAGGTCTGAGTATAGGCATTTTCACTGATGACGTCACGTGCCAAGGTCGAGAATATGGAACGACACAGGCTGAGTCTCACTCCGGCTGCCTCGAGAAGCGCACGTGCCTTCGTTACATGTCAGCTGCGTCTATTTACCCTGCCTGCCAGTCGGACCATCCAGGTGTATCCGGCTGAGGCTTTTGGGACCTTACTAGGAGAACGGCGACAAAGTAAGACCACCTATCCATGCACTACCCACATCTTGAATCTTTGATCTATATTCTCAGATTCAATGTCGAAGCGCCACAGTAAAGTCGATGTCGGGAATAATGCTCGTCAACCAACCATCAGTGCTTTCTTGGCCCTAACCCTGACCTATCCCCAATCCAGTAATAAATTAGAACTTGGACGAGGTCCTGGGTGATATCGCCGCGGAATTTCGAAGTGGTTTGGGTCCTGACGTCCGATAGTGCCCCAGGCAATAGCCATGAGATGGCTGGATTGTGTAATTCCTTCGAGGTTACAGTTAGTGTCTTATCTAAACTCATTTATGGAAGAACTCCTGCGCCCTAGTTTCAAGTCTCTCTAGGCTAGGCGGAGATATCTGGATTTCATCAGAGCTGACATTGATTCCTTACGCTGCACTCGAGAAGCTCAGGAAGCCTCTCTGAACCTCACTGAAGCCTCCCCCTCTCTCTCTCCCATGATAATTGCCAAGACGTGCGGAGTTCCTCTATTCCAGAAATTAAAAACTCCCTCTCCTCCGTCGTATCGAAGCGCTTGAGAGTCGTCTTCTTCAGTCGGAAACCCGAAATAGAAAACGGAACATTATCTATGGTCTTCCCGAAAGTCCCAGTGATGTGTCGGTGAGTGTGGTGCGGCAGTTAATTGTGGAAACCGTGTAAATATCAGCACCTGCTTTGGAGAATTTATTATTCTCCGCGGTCCACCAGTTGATTTCAGGTGAGAGATCGGCCAAGTTTTAAGGTATACCTTGAAACTTTAAGCTCCATATATGGAGACCAACACCCAGCAAGCTTTGTCACCTCGTCGAGCTCACCGTCCCTTAACTTGCATCCTTTTTTTTTCGTGGAAGATAGATTTCACGTATGAATTTTCCGAGCAAAATAAAAAATATGCCTTTTTTGGTTTAACGTTTATGGAGGTACTTTGTCGTAGTAGCCGCCTGTTTCACCTCTAGAAAGCAACACTGAAGAGATTATTTGCCCTTGAGTTGACTGCATACACCAAAAGTTTCGAGGTATGTGCATGGCTTAAATTCCATTATCATCGCCAAAAATTTTACCGTCCACTCTAGTGGACACCATGCGTGAAAGGGTTAACTATCTTCTCTCGTCTGCGGAACTTGAAGGGCACTATGATAACGCTGAAGGAAGATATCCAGCTGAAATCGTATTGTTCGAGTGGTGGGACCCAGTCTCCTCATACAAGCTTACGCGGTTGCCCCCCCCCCCCCTTCCTCCCTTGCTTCCCCTAACAAGACTCCTGGAACTGATTGCTTCCCAGTGGAATTTTATTGTTTTGGGCGGAACCAAGAGATCCATTCACGGAGATGATGACAGAAGTGTTTTCGTTGGGAGAACTCGACGCTGAACAGAGAGGGTACATTTCGTTACTTCTAAAGGGCATCAAGGACCCAAGGAATCAGAAATTAGAGACCTTGGTCTATTTTAAATGTTGCCCTCAAACTCGGAGACTTAGAACAGCATGTGTCACCCTGACTAATCCGGATTCCTCGATGGAAGAAGTGTCTCTGAAAATACTAGAGTCGTGGAAGAACTAGGGTGAGTGCTGCGAATGTCGGCATTCTAAGGAAATTCTTCACTTCCACCTTGCTTGCTGGTTTTCGTAATGGAGCTTCCTCGTTCATATTGGGTCTGGTGATACCTTTATTATGAACCTTCTTGTACCGAAAATCTCGAGTACCCTAGGCCTTTCACTTCCCAAGGGCCTGGGTCAAAGGTGAAGTTGGGTCAGATGTTGGCAATCTCGTCACACTTGCTGGTATAGACGGCACCACCTTGTCAGGAATCTCGACATACTTATGTATCACTGTCATTTACAACTGACTCAAAAATGAATGCAATGTCCTGATAAAACAATACCTAGTGTGGAAGAAAAGAACGAAATGTGCAATAGCTTAGCATTATCACAAGATTTCGCTGGATTTTCGGAGAGCTTTTAGAGAAAGTGGCCACTGCGAGAAAACCGCAACAGAAAATATGGTTGTTCTTGGCACATGTTAACAACATTATTCCTACCATCTGAGAATACTTACCTAACCATGCCGAGGGACTAGTAGTGGAAGCAGAATTTTGGCGATTGCAAAGTGCCCCAGTGCAGACATTCGCAGCACTTACCCTAGTAGGCTACTGTAACAAGAAACCCAGCCTCTTTTTCGTTCACTTTCGAGAAGGCATTTTATAAATTAGATCATAAATACCTTATTCGCCGTTTGCGGCTCTCCGGCATTGCCCTTCAGATATATTTTAGAAGTGGATAATGCATATTTTATGCGAAGACGCTTTGACCTGCACAATGGAACCTTTCCCCCGGGAATTCCCTGTAAAGCGTGGCATGAGGTAAGGTTGTCCCCAAGTCCTCTGCCTTTTTGCCTTTGATGTTGAAGCTCTCACAACCCGAATTATAAATGACTCTGGTGTGAGAGGTATTGATGTCTTTGGGAAAGAGATGAGGATATCACAATATGCGGACGACACCACTTTTTTATGGTTCCGGGCACTCCCTCTGAATTGTACCTCAAATAATAAACCTTTTCGGGAAAATCTCAGGTGATGATATTACTGTTGAGAATTGTGAACGGATGTGGGTGGGTAAAGATTCCCCCCCACCTTGAAAAAAGTTTTAAATGGACGATCGGTTCGGCTCGTTTGCTGAGCATCTCTACTTTCCCTGATGCTTTGAAGAAGCATCAGGGACATCAGGGCTTCCTTTGAAAATACTTCAGCTTAAAAAAAATTGCAGAATCTTTGGTCATGCCGCGATATAACATCTTTTTTAAGAGTCACATGTGTCAAATCGGTTGGAATTTCCCAACTGATTTAGCTGACCTCGAACTTGCTGCTTCCTCCTCGGGAAATTTGTGCAGAAATACAACGTTCGATCAACGGCTTCGTTCCGATCGAAGGGTTGAGGGGAATCCAAGAAGACATCTTCACGTTCATACGGACCAGCGAGACATATTGGAGTGCTGGGCTCAGGCCACCTACACGATAGAAATTATTGAACCGTTGCCTTTTTTTTCAAACGCTTTATAGACTCCCAGTTGGCCTCCTCTCAAAGAAGAGATCTCATCGCAACGGGAGTGAGATACGTGAAGAACCTATTATAAAACCAAAACACGTGTTGCAATATGACTGAGTCATCAGGTACTCCATGAACTCATACGTTATTGCTCGAATCTTAAGCTGCATTTCTGGGGCTTGGAAACGTACGTTGACTGCGGTGGCAGACTTGGTAAATGTTTATTTCAGACTTAGACCAGGGTGCTGAATTCGGTTTCCACAGAAACTTCACTCTAAACTAGACAGTTATACGTATTGCTATTGAACCGTTCTTATTGCAGTTCTTTTTACCTCAAGCACCGTTCCACGTATATGGTCCGAGGAACTGGGGTTAGTTGATTTCCCTTGGGATAGAGTGTTCCTCCTTCCCGGTTAAGCGATGAAGGTGGACGATGTCCGCTTCACTCGAATAGGTCATTAAACTGTATACTCCATGCTTTTAGACTGCTTCACCTGGTCAAGAAAAGGTGATCGCTTGGACTGCCCCTATGACAATCAGAGCCTCTCGAGCGCAATCATGCATATTTTAATGGATCATGCCGTTTCCAACTGTGGTCGCAAATCACAAAATTTTGTCTCGACTCTGGCATTCCGCTCCACCTCGACTCCCAAATCCTCACACTGGGTTGTTTAGATGCTTCCAATCTGGATTACGAACCAGTCAATACTATTTTAAACTTATCGCTTGAAAAAATCGCCAAATGGGCAAATGGAAAGTGGAAATTGTCAAGACTGGATTCTTAATAACCTAAGGGTCATGATAATGGTGTTCTCTTCCACCCACTCGGTTGGTACTTTTTTTGGGGGGGGGTGGGGGGGTTCTTTTTGGTTTTGCGTGATTTTTGCTGTTAAGCTTTTTATTTTACTTAATTTACTTTATTTCCTATTTAGTTCTTTGGATTTGACGTTTTCCCATAGGGACACGTATGCATCCGGCGTAGCAGACGACACCCCTTATGTGTCTCAGATAAAACCTATAAAAGCGATGTAAGAAGCACGCGAGCCGTGCAGGCTGAAGCGCCGTTTCTCCACGGTTGGCCGCCGTTGTAGGCTGTTTGCTGTCCGTGACGGGGCTGTGGTCCTCGTGCTTTATCCTTTTTTTAATATAAGATTTAGGCTATAAACTTCCTGATTAAAAATCTTGCATAGGGTTCGACGACCCCACTTATCGACAACAGGTATCTAGTGCTTGTTAACCCAGATATGCAATCACAGCTCGACGAGGGCCGGTTGAAACTGAATACCACCAATTTCTAGTTCAGTAAAATGCCCTTTGAATTTAGGGAGCATTGGAAGATTCACATCAGAGATGAAGAATATCGGTTGTCAAATTCAAGAGCTTCGACAATAGTCAAGTTAATATCTGCGAGGAACAGAGTCGATGAGAAGATGAATGGTGGAGTGTCCAGCAACGCCACGAAGGCCCTACCTTCAATATTGGGGTTCTTATACGCTCCTCGCCTGGAGATGTGAATGTCTAAAAGTTAGCTCTCGGGAGTCTCATGTCCCGAGCGCACAGGGCCATGCACTCGGAATTAAATGCCTGATGAGGATGACTTCAAACTCTTGCCGTGGGAGCCGTCGACCGAGACTCTCACCCCCTTGTCGTTCAGAACTTTTACGGGAGTGCCACATATGGGAGTGTCTGTTGAGCCGTCATACTTGGGAGAAAGTCATGAAGTATGCATTTCTCACTTTTCCATAAACGAAGGAACGCCTTGAATGATACAGGACCGCGCGTTCCGCTGGCACCTCTCATTGTTCCACTTTCGAAACAGCATGACCGTGTGCATCAAAGTTCTCTGCCATCGTCTTTAGGCCTAAGTGCGACCTCTCTCGTCTCAGAAGGATATTGAAGGAATTCAATGCGTCATCGTTATCTTCATATTGAAACTTGGAATAATGCAGAAGCTCGTGCGGAAGATGGCTTCCAGAGCTCATTAGGATCGCCTCCCTGGGGTCTAAATCTGAAGTTATGCCAGACTCGAGCCTGTGATTGGCCAGATGAACTCTATTTTGTTGTTGTTGTTTTTGTTTTTGTTTTTTTTTTTTTTTTTTTTTTTTTTTTTTTTTTTTTTTTTTATTTATTTTTTTGTTTTTGTTTTTGTTTTTTTTTTTTTTTTTTTTTTTTTTTTTTTACGAGCTTGTGCACGACCTGGTTTGTTATGAGGAAAATTTGCAGGTAATAAAGTGCCAAAGCCCAGCTGGAAGATCCTGTAGGCTATTAACTTTTAGTAGTTGAGTAATGAAAATCTTCATGCTTGACAATTTTAAAGTTATCCATGACTTTCCAATCAGACTGGCTTTTCTGAGGATTGGATTCCCACACATCTCCATTATTCATATGGTGTTCCTAAATTTCAATTTCATGTTATTTACAATTCATTTTCCCTTCTGAATTCAGTCACCCTTAATCATTTAGCCATAGAAGCCATAGGTACTGGCCAAAAAAGTGCGAAAACAATATTGGCCAGAAAAGCAATTGTGAGAATAATGAATGGGAAGAAAGGATGAGGAGGAAAACATGAAATTTCACTAAAACATGCAGTTATCACATTTATGCAAAAGTTCATCTCTTGTCCCTGGAGACATGAATGAACAAGAATATTAATCTATACTCTTATATTTCAGAGTGTTTGTGTGTGTGCGTTTTTGTCCTTTATGCACAGCCATGCTTCTGATCCTAGTTCGACCAAACTTTGCTTGGCTTCCTCATTTTGTTCGGGGATGGTCATAGGCTAAAGGGTGTTTCAAAGTTTGGACCCCCTTTGGTACCTTTTTTAGTGTAGATTTGGCAGATTCCCCCCAATTCAGACCCCCCAAGCAGCAAAAATATTGGGGGCTCATAAAAAAATTTAAGTTGTTATGTGTGGCTTGCTACTGGAATTTGCAATTTGTTGTGTAGTAAAAGCTACATATTTGAAACAATATCTAGCTGGGTTTACCAAAGGGTCATTAAAACAATATATCAGTTCAGGTGTGAAGAGATGTGAATTGTTCACATTTTAATAAAATGTAACAAGACATATAAAGGCTTTCATTTACTAATAAACTTTCAGAACATGTCACAGCCAACACAGTCACAAAGTACTTGCAATTTTCCCTAGTATTGTAATCAAAGGGTGACTTAGCCTATTATCAGACTTTCATTTCATCTATTGAATGAACATAATGCCCTAGAGTAAGTGACAGATGTGATATTTCTATCACATCTGTCACATGCTCAGACTTGAAATTAAAAATGAGACATTTCTTAGCATACAGATGCACCTCTAGCAAGGAGAGTATGCAAGACTTTGGCTTGTGAAATTTTAAATGACTGCCTTAGGCGGAATTTTGCAGCCTTTATATATTGATTCATCATTATTAATAATGTTATGTGCATTTTATGTATAAAAATTTTTACTCCAAATGTTACAGCCAATACAATATGTATCTAGAGCTTCATGATCCTCTATTAGAAATTCCCTCACACTGCAGTGCAAGTGCCTCACTGGCTGTGTAACATACACAAATATACCTAAAAATGGGATTCCTTACAAGACAGGTACTTCATAGTATTTATTTTCCAGCTTCAATTTTATCTCTTATTAGCCCCAAGTTGCAATCCAGGTCTATTGCATTTTAATTTCATTTAGTCTTATCAGATCACAAGTTATCACTGATTCCTGCTTGAATAGCACATCTGTATAATCTCATAAATGTTTATTTTCTACTCATAGTAGCCACACATAGCCTCCTTGGACTGCCTAATAGACCTTTAGACCTATTGAGTGCATAAGGTTGATTTTTATAAAAAAAAAGACTCACTCAAAAGACAGAAATTGCCTTTTGAGTGAGTAGCAATTTTTAAAATAGACTCCTACAGTCAAGGCAGTCACAGTTTCATCATGCAAAAATTACATAATTATATGGAAACCCATTGAGTTCTACTATGAAATTATCAAATTCATCTGAAAAGTATCGTATTATATTTTTTCTATTGGGTCTGAAATATTTCCTGGAAATGGGGATAGCTTCGGTGCATGATGCCTTATGAAAGTACTCTATTTTTTCCCATGTCTTGGAACACTTCTGAATACATGAACTGAATTTGAAAATTTAGGTACCAGTAGGAGATTCAAGATTCATGGAATACCTAAATCCAGGTCCAATCTGTGGTTGATAATGCAACCAGACAAAGATACCTTTAGTCATGTTCAGTCATCTGGTGGAAAAGCTGCTCTGTTGTAGCTGAGAGCTAGTGCTATGGAGTCTGCATTGTTGAATTTGGACTTGCCATCATCTCTTGTCATGAAGGCAGAGAAAGAAATACAAGAGATAGCTGCAAGGCGGGATAGAGATGTTCAGGCCTTCAAGGACATGATACAAAGTGAGTCTTTTCCACCTCTTTGCAAATTCATATTTATACCTCTGCCTTGACTAACCTAGTGGATAATCTCATCTGTCCCTTTCAGAAGAAGAAAGCCTTGATGCCTGTCTGGATGACAGATTCCTCATTCGATTCCTCAGGGCTCGCAAATACAACCATGATCGTGCCCTAAGAATGGTTGGTTCCCTAGATTTGGTTTGAGTCACTTTAGTGATGCTTGAACTGACCAAAGTCAGGATTTAGTTGATGTGTGGCATTGCCTGTGCAGTCAATTTTTTGGATCAATTCCAGCTAAAAACATACTATGCAATGAAGGCTGCCTACCCAACACTATTCACTCAGTTGCAACCCTCTCTCCTGACATCAGTTTGGAGCCAGAATATATATCATGGCTTGACCGATCAGGATGATGAAGGAAGATCTGTGAGCATTCTTCAGCTAGGTGGGTTCCATATCCAATCCATGCAATGCACCTAGGATGTTGAGATGTTATTTGAAATTTCATGTATCTTGGTGCAATTGTTGCATCTCAGGTTTATGGGACCCAAGTGTGAGCAGTGTGGAGGAGATGTTTCGTGCTGTCCTTGCATGTCTAGAATATGCAAGCATGGACCCTTCAATACAAGTGTGTGGTGTTGTGGGCATTTTTGACTGCAAAGGTCTAGCTTTTCATCATGCTAAACATTTCACCCCTTCTCTTGCTCAGAAAGGTGCTTCTGTTCTCAAGGTACAGTCATGAAGAATCATCTTGGTTGACATTGTGTGTAATATCTCTGATACATGGACAGTTGCTTATGGTACTTGATTGTCTTTAGGATTGCTTCCCTATTCGATTCAAGGGGATTCATGTTCTGAATGAGCCCCTCATAGTTGACATGCTATTTTCAATGCTGAAGCCATTCCTCAGTACCAAGATCTTGACTCGAGTAAGTTGGTTTGTCACCTGTTCTGATTCCTGGCTGTTAGATATTAGAAGGGTGAAAAGTGGTGATAATTTATTATTATTTGATTCAGTTCCATTTTCATGGAGAAAACCTTGAGAGTCTTCACCAACATGTACCTAAAAGGATCTTACCATGCCTCTATGGAGGGGAGAAGCCAACACTTGATGGTTCATATCATCTTCAAAAACTAATGGATTTTGAGCAATGGCTTAAAGGTAAGTCATTTTTTTGTTTCTTACATGCAGATTGCTCAGTGACTTGTAGATTGTGAAGAATCTTCTTTCTCTGTGGAACAGATTTGGACAATTATGGTTACCAGAGCAAAGTGCCTGCAAAAAAGGTCCTCAACTCAGGGAAGGGCAACATTTTTACTAGATATTTCTTTTCCTGAGGCAGGTTGTGAAAATTTTAGCCTTCAACTATGCTTGTGATACTTGCAGCAGGGTCATGTTATGGATCCTCTCTCATGAGCTAACATCCAGTTCACACTTTTTGTTGGTATCTCAATCTTTTTTGCAAGCATTCTCTCAACTCAAAGTCATTACTTGAAATGTGTTATGTCATAGAAATATTGAGGGATCTTTTTAGGGGGTTATTCAAGTTTGCTTATTTATTTCTATAATTTGAAAAAGAAAGTATGTTACATATGATACTTTAGCATCATATGTCACCGGTGTCTTTCTCAGAAGTATCATATTTCACATTTTTATTCCAGTGATGTTGTAGAGCTTTATCTTCTTACTCTCATTCTATTGTTTCCAAGAGAGGGTCCAGTTTAGAAGTAGTATATTAAATGGAATTAGCTGAAACTGTGTTCCTGGATGAAGTTACTATGTGGTATCTTTTGGTTTAAAAAAAAAAGAAGTTTCATCAGAAGTATGATGTAATTTGCAGCTCATATGCCATTTAAGTACTGGTAAGTACAGTAATGATTTTATTGGAAAAAAGATTCTGCTATGCACTGATCCTAAACTTGAAAGATTCTGCTTTAGATTCAATGACCCAAGAAAATTTGGAAATTGTTTATATCAGGTCTTGCTCGTGATGTCGAAATTAGCCCTGAATGTAATGTGCAAGATAGCAAATGCAATTATTTTCCCTGTGAACATGTGATAACATTTTTCTTTAATGGTTTTATGAATCTTTAGCCTACTCTTTTCATGTAGTCAGTGGAAATGCATTCCATACATACGTTCCCTTTTTATTTTTGCTTGACCTTTCTGAGTTGCAAATTGCAGGTTGGATTTCTTGCAGTATATGAAACCTTGAATTTGGGTGCTTCATGAAATACTTACTATGTAAGTGCTATGTTGCTTTTGTGATGTTTTTCTGTTTCTTCAAGGGATGCATTTTGGAGTGATTTCACAAGATCATAATCAAGATCATTCATTGTTGCATTCCTAGAAATAAAAGACTTATCATATTCTTGTGCACCCTGGGACACTTCTGATCCATTGCTTTGCACTTTTGTTGTTCATGGCCTGCTGTTAGGGGAACTGCAATGGCACTGCAAAGTACTCCAATTGAAAGCACATGAATGGATCCCCCACATCTGCTTGAACCGTAGAGGCCCCTGATAAAGCGTATCTTTAAAGAAAGTGGCAAGTACTTGGTAATTCCGTTGCTTAGGGGGATGATGAAGAGCTTTGCTCAAGTAGCAGATGTTGATGTGGTGTTTCCAACTAAATCGTTGGTGCAGCCTTACCCTTGGTGTTGGAGATCTGGAAGATGACCGGAAGTAAACAGGTTCTTGAATACATACAATCACGTCTCTGAGCATTGTGTTGCACACCTATGAGAGTTCGCTAATGATTTGCCCATTGCTAGTCCTTTGACTGCTAAGTTTTAAATGGTTGACCATGCCCTCAGTGCTGAGTTTCAGTGCTCTCTCTGTTGCACTGGACCAGTTTAATGGACAGTTGCACTACTGGCACAGCTTGCTACCTTCTACGAGGGGTTTTTGAAAAGTCCCCTGAGTTGCCTGGTTGCCGTTGCGCAAGTCGGGCGTAATTTTTTTCCCTGTTTCCTTAATCTGTCTGTGACTATATACAAGTTTTAACCCCCCCAGGTAGTCATGGAGACAAGAAAACTAAAAAGTTGTGATGACAATCCGCCTCAATTTCCGGTTCTGACTAATGAACTCGTTCGATCATTCATTCTCTACAACTTTTTGCGCGGTTTAAAAGCTAAATCTTGCTTCCATGAGTTGAAAACTGTGCTTGGGGACAAAGCTCCGTCTCTGGAGACTGTGTCAAAGTGGTTTCAGCGATTTCACACTGGGGGACGACCCGCGCGAGGGACGCCCCCGAACAGCGACTGATAACAAAATGTGGCGGCGGTTGACAAAGATGGTCCATTTGAACCATTTGGACGATAGAAGTATGAAAACAGCTAATTTTTTTAACACTTCAAACGAACTGCAAAAAGGTTCTAGCGACAGCCAAGAGATGTCAGAACATGCTCCTTGATTAATCGAATCTTTCGAGTAAACACGACGATAGCGATGACAAGAGGGAAAGACGAAACGCGTATGCGTAACAGTAGCACTGGTGACACTTCCTACTCTGACGTGTTAACACAACAGTAGCAGTTAAAGGGTATACGTGTTTTATGTCATTTTGCGTTTTGTGTTCTGATTTCAGATTTATATGGCAAAGAGCTAATGGCTCGTGTTGTTGGGAACAGCAAATAGCATGTGGTAGACCGCATTTGCAAAAATGCCTACCGCGAGGCAATGGCAGCGGGAGCGACGTTCATCACCACCATATAGATTGCGCGGATCGCTCCCGCCTCCATCATCTCGTGGTTGGCCTTTCCGCGGATGCGGTCTACCACACGCTGTTCTTTGCTATCATCAACAACACGAGTAATTAGCTTTTTACCATACAAATCTGACATCAGAATTTAAAAAAGGCTTAAAAAAAAAGACATGAAACCTATGGCTTTGTGCCATGTGAGCCCATTTACCCCCTAGTTTATGTTATACTTCGTATGCCTCCACCTCATCTTCGAAACGTCTCCCAAATTCATTTCTCCGAGACAAAGACACGAGCAAAACTCAAAAACAAATTGGAGAGTGAAAATGGACTAGAGTTCGTGGAGGACACACACGAGCATTCTGCATAACATCCTGACCACGTCCAATTTCTCTTCCTACTATAATTCATTTCCAGCCGCCTTTTCTTGTTTAGAATAGTTTTGATGAGCTTTGTTTCAATTAATGACAGACGAATCAATGAGTATGAGAACGCAGATTTTGCTCATAGCTTATCTCGATTTTCCAAGAGAGCAAGGTTGAAGTGCTCAGAAGGTATTGAACTGCCCCCTGTCCACTTTCGATTTCCGATTTCTTTTTTGAATAATTCATCATGGCCTTGCACTGGCGATATAAATTTGGATGAAGTTTCAAATGCCTATTGGAACCATATCAATCTGTGCACAGAGCAAGCTTCGTTGGTCTTTTTTTTTGCCAAACCCTGGTGGATTTCAAAATTGCAGTCCAATCGCAGTTCGGTAGCAGTTCAGGTATAGTCAAACTGAACTGAAGCTAGAATTGGACCGCAACTGAACTGTCGTTTCGGAATCGGCCAGTGGCGTAGCAAGACGTTTTGGACCTCCCCCCCCA